GGCTTCGCCTACGGGCTCACTAAAGCGCCTCCTATACCCGTACCTAGCACTCTCGAAGCCGCGTCTCACCGTGCTTGTAGTCCTCTCCGCAATGGCCCCCTACGCACTGTACCCTACGGACCCACTTCTCGCCACAACCACTGCCCCAACACTCTCCGCACTTACACTCACCTTTCTCACCCTAGGCACCACGCTCTCCTCCGCCTCCGCAAACGCCTTTAACATGTACCTTGAGCCCGCGCACGATCGCAAGATGTCGCGCACGCGTAACCGCCCCCTTGTCCGCGGGCTCATCCAGCCCGCACAGGCCCTCGCATTTGCCTTTGGTACTGGCATCATCGGCACAACCGCCCTCTACTTCGGTGTCAACCCGACCGTTGCCGCCCTGGGCGCCGCAAACATCGTACTCTACGCTGCCGTGTACACGCCTATGAAGCGCCTCTCTGTGGTCAATACGTGGGTTGGCGCTATAGTCGGCGGTATCCCGCCGCTTATGGGGTGGGCCGCTGCCGCGGGCGCTGGTAGCGTTGAGGGTGCTGCCGTGTGGGAGAATCTTGCACACCCGGGTGGGTGGTTATTGGCGGGACTGCTGTTTGCATGGCAGTTCCCGCACTTCAATTCGTTGAGTTGGACGATACGTGAGGAGTATCGGGCCGCGGGGTACCAGATGATGGCGTGGAAGTACCCGAAGCTGAACGGGCGGGTTGCGTTGAGGTACAGTTTGTTATTTTTTCCCATCTGTGTGGGGTTGTGGATGGCGGGGGTTGTGGATGTAGGGTTTGTGGTGGATAGCTCCGTGGTAAATGGGTGGTTGGTGAGGGAGGCGTGGAGGTTTTATAGGAAGGCCGGAGAGGGCGGAACGGCGAAGAAGTTGTTTTGGGCGAGTGTGTGGCATCTGCCAGTCGTGATGGGGCTGGCGATGGTGCATAAGGCGGGCTTGTGGAGGGGCGTGTGGGAGTGGGCGGTGGGCAGGGAGGAGGAGGACGATTATGAGTATGAGGACGAGGAAGAGGAGCAGCAGCAGGCGGCGGTGGCCGTGAGGACTAGGTGAGGGGTAGATGACCTCTTATTATTATTGTTTTCTAGTTGTAGTTAGTTAGTATTATTGTAAATAAAAATAAAATAGAGTTGGGAGTAGACCGACTGTTAGTAGTGATTAACACATGCTAGTTTTATATTAATCACCCATTCGTATGCCGGCCAGAAATACAAAACCAAGTTTTAGCCGCTTCTTCAACTCAGATCCACTGCGAACCCGGATCTAAAGCATGCTTTAGCACACCATCCGAATACTGGCATATCTCAGATGAAGATTCTTTTATGACATGAGAGAACACATGACCAATCCTCCAGAACCCACACGGAACCACTATCTTCAGATTGATAATAATCTCTGTGTTCGAATCCACCCGACAAATACCATTTCCATGGTGTGGCCTGGTGCCCCAAAATTTTAAAATCTTACGAAGGCACCTATTATATCGTGAAATTAGAAGCGGCAACCATGGGTGATAATTTTAAAACTTATCTGAGTCTAATCTCTTCCTGGAGTTCAAGACTAGATATAAGTTGAATCCCCCTATCCAGAAGGTACACCTAATCTGCAGGAACTTGAAATTATCTGGTACAGCTACTGTAACCAGCACATTCATTCCAGTGCCATAAAGTACGGTAAGGCGCTACCACTGCACTGCGCATGTAGTGGAGCGGTCGAGGGGCACACATCAACTCGTTCACGTGGATGACGAATGTCCGTGATTAAAGGTTGTAGAGATGCTTAAGGCACCCAAAACTTAGTGGCGTTCCAGATAATTCCCCCTGTGTGTGTGGGTGTGTGACTCACAAGTTGAAGGAAAAGCTTTGCAATAGTGCAAAGGCTGTTTATTCCCATGTAAAACCCCTACAGACTCCCTGTCGCTAGCCAGACCACTCCCACTCATATTCATAGCTGGATGCAGACAACTAACCGTGGACGCCGGCCATGGTCACCTTGGAACCCATATAGTTTTCAACATAAATCTCATTGTGCAAAGCACGATCCGTGATCTCCATCCTAGGGCTCTGCTTTTTGTGTGGGGACGAGGGTTTGGTCAGATCTGCTAGACTGGTAGAAGTCGCTGAGCGGGCTGCTGATGATCTGACTGAACTTGATGACCCCCCCCTCCTGTCTGTTGCTTCTGGTTGTGCAGTATACCAATCGATTTGTGCTTGGGACCTATCAGAAAACAACCTATCAGCGGGGGCAAACTTTTGGTTACAGTGATAGAGGAATTTCAAACCCAAATCCATGTCTCCTAGCTCTAGATAAGGAACACGAGAATAAGACTTAATCTTAGATAGAACAAAACGGAAGCCACCTTGCCTTTGAGATCGAGAGCGAATGCCTCGCGGTGGTGCTCACTTTATGTGCTCCATGGCGGCGTATTCCAATCCAATGGCGACGACGAGACCAAGCTATTGGAAGAGAAGGAAGATGATAATGTCAACTTTGATATGATATGATTGTGGACGGATGTTTATATATGCCACGTACATCTTTCTTGTCATAACCTAGGTCCAGTATAGTCGGTGTGTATATAAGGCACTAACAGCCATATAGATATATAGGTATGCCGTATGAGAGTGGTTCGCTGAGCTTGCAAACGCTTTGACTCACCCTCCTTAGTCATTGAGTAAGGAACCTTCTTGGAGAGTGATGTCTGGGCGTTTACGAGGTTAAGTATATGTGGTTTCCATAGTTGCACAAGAGTACCTACGCACGGTGTGATTCCAATATTGCGTCTTCGAGCACCCCTCCTCCGCCTCGGTCTTGCCCTCTCCACCTCCACTTGCTTGATCTCATCTATTACTTTCTTCAATTAAAACTATACAGACGAAGGGTATCTAACTCCCTCTCCCTCGATAGGGAACTCACCACAAGCTCCCACGCGCGGCCAAAAACATCTGTCTCGACGTGTTTCCAGACAGTCACCCCTCCTCCTCCTCCCCCTCCTCTTCTATGTCTATCTGCACTTTCCGCTCAAATGGACGCATTGTTGAGGTTCACCCGTTCCTAAAGTATCACACACCATGTAATGAGCAATGGAACTAACGTCACAGTTATTACGTAATTCCGACACATGCGATCACTCGAGGAAAATTTATCATTGACACCAACCAGTTTTTGTTTTTTCGGTTGCTTTGTGTGAGTCCCTGGGCTCAGGGCGATTGTTGGGTGATGTGAAGATATGATAATAAGAATGAGTGGAGGTAGAGGCGTAGTTAGAGTGTAGGATGCGTGTGTTGGTGGTGATGGTGGGTGGTCATGGTCGACCTTCGCAGTATGGGGTCACAATACGATAGACTCAAACTTAGAAACATCGTCGAAGAACATGTACTACCTCTCACGAGCCTCGAGATGAGAGAGGGCTCATGGGCATCAGAGTGGCTAAGAATAGAGTGGGAGTCTGATAAGCACGCAGGGCCCGCTAGTCCCAAAGCTCTCTAACATTAACCCAACTTCTCCCACATTACCTCCCTCTCTCACTAGTGCAACCCCCTCTCACAGGTCTAAAGGGTTCTATCCTCCCTTCCCCCTCCCCCCCCCCCCTCCCCCCTCTGGGCTTTACCCAGCTCTACAGCCCTACCTAGCCCTACAGCCCTACAGCCCTAACTTTCTCCCCACAAAAGAATTCTGCCGCGCACAAAACCCCACAAAGCCCCACAAATTCACTGAGCCATCAGGCCAACCCCACCAACTCCACCATCCCCCAAATTTCCCAAAATAAATTGATCACCACCACAAGTTTCTATCCCAACCCCTCCAACCTCTATCACAACTATGTCCTCTAGCTCTTTGACCTCCAACGAAAGTACCGGTATTGATCCGTCTACAGTTAGAGACAGTTTGGAGGTTCTCATGATCTCTCCAGCCCGCCGTCCCATCCGCCGCCATGCGGCTTTGAGTCCCGCGGGGGAAGATATGCCAATCTCGGGCATTAATACACCGCAGAGGTCAACCTTAGCACGTAATAATCCGTACAAAAACTGGTTTCCCGGTTTCGAGGACAGCACAGACGCGGCCCCCCCGAATAACCCCACTACATCCAGCACCGGTGTCACCACCACCAACACCAGCACCGGTGTCACCACCACCAACACCAGCACCGGTGTCACCACCACCAACACCAGCACTGGTGTCACCACCACCAACACCAGCACCGGTGTCACCACTAGCACTAGCGACAGTGTCACCACCATCATCACCGGTGGTGATACTGCCAATGCCAATATCCCCATCCTCGGTCCTTTCGGTGCACTCAAGAAATCGATGAAGGATCTAATCCAATTGCCAATCGACGCCGTCAAACTTCGAATTCACAATTTGAAAATGAAACGAGATGCGAACTTGGCCCAAAAGGCCAGGATTGTTGAGAATAAAAGAAAATGCGAAGTCGACGCCTTGTTAATCAACAGGATTGCCCAGGGTCTTGGAGGGGTTGACGCCACGACTCAATCTATGAACCAAATCGAGCAAGACGATACACTCATCTCTACTACCGCCACTACCACTGCTCTTCTTGCAAGTTCTAGTCAGTACCAAGCCAGTACCGTGGCCGACAACAACACTAACGGCATGGGCGACCTTAGTGCCGATACCAGAAACAATGTCAAAGCCTCGGAGCACAAAAAGGTGACTTTCGCCGACAAGAAAGACGCCGATGACAACAACAAATCTAAGCGTCACCGTTTCGCCTAATCTCCACTTTCCTTTCCTTTTTGTCTTGTCTGGGCCTTCCCCGGCTTTCGTAGTTAGCCGGTGGTTCAGTCTGCTGTCTATCTGTCTGTCTATCGGCCATGTGGTAGTCCCTTAGTAGTAGTGTAGTGTAATAAATCTCTACATTACCAAGTCACGTCATGCTTTCTCACTCGCGATCTAATTTGGTACTAGCGTCTTCTCTAGCGTCCTTTGTGTTTTTTCATTTATAAGATGTGTCTTTTTGTTAACTGTAGCCATCAACGCGCCGTTGGTGCAGGGGTAGCATAGTTGCCTTCCATGATTCCCGTTTTCGGATTTCACTGATAGCAACTGGGAAGGGTTCGAGTCCCTTACGGCGCATTCTTTTTTGGTGATGGTGTTTTGTTTTGTACCTGTTTTTAGTGATGCTTTCAATCAGTGTTTACGGATTGGTGAATTACTGTTTTTAATCGCTTCGCTTCGTATATGCATGTATACTTAGCACTTTGTTTTAAGTTTTGAGGTGTCTCTACACGGGGAATATTCAATATGCTCAGTTAATACGGTGGGTATTTATCGTGCGTTCACTTAATTTATGTTCGACTACAATTTATGAAGCCTGTGAGTGATATAGCAGTGCATATATTCAACACCCTCATGAGCCAACAGTCCAGCGGGGCCTTGAAGACTTATACCCACCAAACGAAAGAATACGTACATATCTTTTTTTCCTATTTTCGCGAAGGAGATATTTACCACAACGTGAACTGTCGTCGCGATGCCCACGAAAGAACCAAAAAGTGCTTGTATGTAGATGGCTTTAATGAAATCACCTGGCCTGTGTTCTGTACTGGCATCGGCAACAATAAATCTGGCCAACTATTTTTGGCTTTCCATGCTTCTAAAACGAACGCATCAAGGACTGGTACGTCTGTGAGAGTCAAGCTCTGCTTGTACGCTCTAGGTCACTATCAAGACGGCGGGTTACTTCTAGCAGCCCTCGGAAGATCTCTTTGGTTAATTGTGCATGGCGCCGCGCGGGTGGGAGCTATTAAAGCAGCAGTAAAAGTATTATATAATTAGATCTTGATGAGACGTATACCTTCTATAGCCACCGGTAGTCAAAGATTCAAACATAAATTGCCTGTAGTGCTAACTAATTGAATTCCATGGCATCCGAACCCCCAACCACTGAAAATCATGTTATATAAAACCTATTTACGTCACGCGAGTTTTAACAGTAAACCCCGTGGTAAAGGGGTCTTATGCCCTGAAATCAGTTGCGAGAAGAAGACTTCTACCCATCCTGGACTCGCGTAGTACATGCTAAAACGTGCTAAGAGTGGTGAGGCAAAAAGATGCGTATATACAGTAACAGAAACATGGGTAGAGTGACTGCCGCAGTTTTTGGCAATGCCGTACCACTGCGGTAACACTACCGTATAGTTCGTTGAAATACGGAGATAAAGCGGCATATTCTCAAAATGCCGTACTAATACGGTATCAGTTTTACCCCCATTTCTGATACTGTACGTAGGGAATTGGATACAGGAAGAAGAAATGGAAGAGAGAGAAAAGAAATGGAAAAAACAGTTAAGGGAAACAAGCCCGGCGAAACCTCCCAAAACCCGAACGCTAACTCCAGCGCCAATCGCCCCGGACCGACCAGACAGTAATACCTAGATCATATACACGTAGCCCCCCTAAGAATCGTGACTGAGATTGGAAGGAAAAAAATGAATACGGCTGCCACGCGGGGGTGATGCATGAGATCGATCTATTTTCTCTATTCTCGTCCGCTACTCTTCATCCGGCTTATTTAACTCTGCCTTCTTCATTTTCGACTTCTCCAGCTCCTGGAAGTGCCTAAAGAATTTCTTCATCGGAGTATCTTTATCGCGGTACCACTCATTCCTTTGACTTTCCCCTGAGCCTTTGTTCTCCTTTTTGCTTTCTCTTTCCTCGAGATTGGCCTTTGTCATAGCGCGTTGAGTCTCCGCTGAGAATAATCTCTCGGAGGAAGACTTTACACCAAAGTATTCCTTCCTTCTCCTGTCAAGGTCATTTTTTTGGTCCGTGGTGAGCCTCTCGTAACCCGGAACATATATATCTCGCATGCGAAGACCAGCGTAAAGTTCTGGCTTTGATTTGGGTTGAGATGGCTCAGATAATTCCGATTCTTCATTGTCAGATATCAGGTCGATGATTTCCGGGACCATTGCCATAGGCTCATCATCATCATCACTAAAAGTGATATCTGGGAAGCCGGCCATAGGATCATCGTTGCTAAGCTCAAAACTCTCTTCAAGGTCTTTCTCCTCAAAATCCTTTTTAACAGAGTCCTCCTTCATGTAATCCTCCATAGTAAAATCCTCTTCATCAGAAAATCCCTTCCCCTTTCTCTCTTCCTCCAAGTCTCCCTTCCCGGGAACCTTCACCCGTGGTTTTGACGACGACTCAGGTTGGGGGCTTGCTGGGACCTTGAAGTTTCTCTGCTTTTTAGAAGAAGGCAGTGTCGTGGCACAAGTATCTTTATATGGAGACACATCAATACGTGGTTTCTTGGCTGCAATAATCTTTTTGGAGGGCGATGGTTGAGTGCGCTTGCGTATATTTAACTGGTCAATACCCGAAGCTATCTCCTCATTATTAGATCTAGACAATTGATATGGTGTTGCAGGAATTTGATCATCGAGATTCAACAAAGTATTGTTATCAGGAGCTTCGACCTCGGGTTTTACAACGGGGCGTCCGTGCATTGAGGAATTTTCCCGCTCTGTCATATCAGTAATGTTGGAAAACTCTTTGTAGCCCATAAATTCCTTCTTCTGTTTTTCAAGCATATCCGTGACACTACGGGTATTGGCCACTTCACGGATTTCTTGGGTCCCAAAATCAACCACTTTGAGAAGCTTTCTCGTTTTCCTTGGACCGAACCTGGAAACTTGTCGAGCTGCAGTAGAGTGTGACAAAATTTCATCTTTTATTCTAGTTTGGTTTTCTTCCGACGTAGTAGGTACCTCGATCTTTTGGTGTTCTTGGGCCTCGCGTATTAGTTGCTCCTGAGATCTAACAAAGTCATCGGAGAAACCTCTTCGGAGATCTTTTGCTTCTACGGAGGGCCAGGGAAGATCCTGTGATGACATTTGTCTTTCAGGAATAGTTACAGGCCTATGAGTTGGAGAATTTTGAACTACTGGACTTCGAGGCTCCTGGGAAATATGTGATTCTTCTATGTTTGTCCCCGGTATGAGCGTTATATCAAGTCCTTCATCGGCGCATACAGCATCAATGCGTGACTTCGATTTTGCAATTGTAGGACTCAAGTCTCCGCCCAAAATGCCGACCCCCTTTTTGTACGGTGTCTCTTCAACTTGAATTGATGGGGCAGTGCTGTTGATAGGTGACGAAGGTAGGGCGGGGGCAACACCTTCGTCATATTTACGGGTTCTGGAGACGTTGGTTTCTTCTGGAGCGACTGGATCTAGAACTCTGCTAAGGTTGTCACCTACAGTCGTTGTTTCCTCATGTTAAAACACCAGATCATTACAAAATTAACTGTTCCTTTATAATTCGAATGGTGCAGGTTAGGCACTCACTCTTATTACTCTTGGGCTCCATCGTGATCCCGGCTCCATCTGCGACCTGTGAGGCATCATTCCATTTAGGTGTCTCCGCTGGTCCCGTATGTAGAATGTCGGAACACGAGTATTGCAGGTCCAAATTATCTAGAGTCCTTTCTGTACAGTTTAGTGCCGATTTCAGCGGCATCAGCGGAGCCTGAGGGATCTCATCCTCTTCCTCATTTTCATCTGTATGGTCGCCCAAATGTTCGGTCATGGGTAAGGCAATTGATGATCCGGGTAAGGACTCTGGGATTTTGTCGTTTTCTCCGTCTGAGAGAAGCATGCCACTGCGCTGTGATGAAGGAAGGGGTTCGTCAGGTGTAGGGTGTTGGCTCAGCATAGGATGATCCACTACAAGACTATCTGATGTAGCATTTTCTGCAGGAGAAATATGTTCGTTGTGGTGTTGCATTTCTATTTGCTTGGCTTCTGGGCTCGGGCTGAGTGATTTTGAAGCAATGGCTCCTACTGCCTCCTCCGTATGCACCCCAGTTACCTTGTTCTCCTCATCTTCTGATCCCAACTGATTGTCCCACACTTCATCATCAAAGCCGCCATCACCATCATAATCAGTGTTACATTGCGCATTCTCATTCTCATCCTCATCTTGGCGTTTCTGTGGCTGCTTTCCGTTCCGTTCCCATAAATTCACCTGCTGGGCCTTTAAAATACCACCAAACACTTCGAGCCTTGTCCGTCCATTTGGATCCACCACGCCCACAGGAAGATCAGGGTGGTTGATGAGTTCATTAATATTGTCATCTCCCGAAGAAAGATAATTTTCATCTTCCTCTGAGCGATACTCACGACGAGGGCGCTGCTTCCGAACTGCCGCAAACCTCTGCTTCTTATTGGCTTTTGCCATTCTCGAGGGTTCCTTTATTGAGTCGTTAGAAGAATTGCTACACAAAGCAAACAAGTTACCTTACCACATTATTCGGATCTACCGGTGTCTTTTTCGAGATTCCATTTGCTGCGCGTGTGACGCGTTTGGCCTTAAACTCGTATTTTTCATATGTTTCGCCGATTTGTTGAGTATATGGGATTACATATTCTTCCCCGACTCCTTGTACGGATACTTGACTAGGTTGATTGGAACTACCATTGGCGCTTCTCGCTCTGTCATCTACAGAACTCTCTTTGTTGATCAACCTTCCAACAAGCGTAGATTGGGTACCAGAATTAAAACTGCTATCGGGTGGTACCGCGTTCATACCTCTCAGGGGTGACTTTATAGAACTCGACGGCCATGAAATCTCTGTACCGTCGGGGGAAGAGACTGGAGATCTAACGGGGGGCACAATAACTTGGATATTTGATCTACGCGGTGGATGGGATTTTGGCACAAGTTGATCTTTAGAGACGAAATCGTAGCCGGAGACATGGTGCCTATTTTCGTATGGATACCAAGCTACGGAGGAATGGTTAGTAAATCTCTCAAAAGACAGGTTTTTCAAGTTGGGTCTTTTGATTGTAAAAATGCAAAATAATTAATTCAATCCTTGATCAGTGACATTCCATGGTGAAAAAGTAATTTGAGTACAATGCTATAGTGATACAAAACTACCCCAAGGTACCAACCAAGCTACATTATCTATGTAATAATAGTAACAAAGATATATAGGAAAGACAATGACCGGTAGAACAATTCAGAAAGACACTCACATTCAGGCCGGTTTAATATCTCTAGCTGATCGTCTGGAATTATAGTCTGAGATGGTGTGATTTGCTCCATTTTGCCCCAACCCAGAGACT